TTTTATTCGAGGAAGAAATTTGAAGGATCATTAGAATCCGGATAAAAAAGGTAAATAAAAATATATTGTATTTGTTAAATATCTTGTTGTACACAAAGCAATTATTGTTTCTGATAAAATTTCTATTATCAATTTTAATGAGAACATGGTTATTTTTTTATTAGTAATCATAGGGATTTTAACTTTAATAAAATGCAAATTTATAAGAATAATTTTGTTAAATTTAATTCGAGTTTTGATAAATTGGATGTGACCAATTGTGTGGTTACAGCTTTAATTTTTTCATCTTGTATATTTCATTGATTTTTATTATACATTTAATTAAGAATAAATATTTTACAAATAAAGTGAGTAAGTTAGATGATTCTAAGGTTGTGGATGTGAATCCTATGACATCTGATAAGTTTTCAGATTTTCTGAAGATCTAAAAAATAGTTTAAATTTGATTCTAATTGAACTTAGAAATTTAAATATCCAGAAAATAAGTAATTCCAGTGGGAATGAGAAGTCAAATACTAATAAAGTGCCTATTGTTGGTAAAAGTATTATGACGTCAAAAGATATAAGTGTTAGTTTAGATTCATTTATGAGTGAAATTACAGAGAAAATTTCAGAAATTGTGATTAATAAACCTCTGAAGGTTGTAAAAGATCATGATGTTACTAACAATGTTAAAAGAAATGAAAATGAATGTGTAATTTCAAATGATATAAAAGAAATTAAAGAAAATTTGAAGAATATTTCTAAAGATATAGATACAATTAGACATAAGAATCATAATTTTAGTGAAAATTGTGAAATTTGTGGCCGGAGGGGTCATAGTGGGAAAAATTGTTTTCCGCGTGGGCGAAAAATCAATGAAAATGTGAATGTAAAATTAAATGATAAAAATGATATAATTTGTCATCGATGTGGTTTTACAGGTCATTTAAAAAAGAATTGCATGGTGAAAGAAGCAAATTTTAAAGATGGTTTTCTAAAGAGACCACCGGTATTGACAAATCCAGTAGTACGTAATATAAAAGATTCTATTATTTTAAATTCAAGTGAAAAAGATGTGAGCAATACAGATAATGACCGAATGTGTTATAAATGTGAGAAAATGGTTCATGTGGCCATGAATTGTGCTCAATATGTGAGTGAATTGCAAGGACTATATGATTTGAAGGAGAATCATATAGAAATTGAAAAATCATATATTAATAATAAAATTTGTAATATATATAGTTTAAAAAGAATTTCAATATATTTAATAAAAAAAATATGGATATTCAGAGGCCATTAAATTCAGAGTTGAATTTAGGCCTGAATATTAATGATATTATTGGTGATTCAAATATAATGAATAAAATTTTAATGATTGAAAAAGAAATTAATCAGTGTTCTTGTCCTCGTTTAAATATAAAATTTGATAGACAGAATATAGAAATGTTGTTTGACACTGGGGCAAGCATTTCAATAATGTCTAGAGCAATAAATTATTATAAATATTGGCCTGTGGGTACATTTGAGAAAGAAAACATGTGTGTTAAACAATTCGATGGATTTAAAATTGTGGTTTTGAGTAAAGCCTAATTAAAAGTGATAATATATTATAACAAAATTTTTGATAAGAATAACATCTGGGAAGAAAAGTATTATTTATCTTAAGCAATAGAGAAGAATATTTTAATTTAAGAAGTAAATTGTTATCAATAAAATAAAAACATTGACTTTAATAAATTCATGTGAATAATACTACGTGTCATGGTATTAGAAAGTTCAATGAAATACAACAATCTTTTGTGTAAATTAATTTTAAAGAAAAAATATTTTTTTTAATTTAAAGAAACATTGTTGTGAAACAATGTAAAATATTTTTTTTTAAATAATATGTGATAAAAAAAGAACTTTAATTAAAAAGTTGGTGGACAATAAAAGATTTTAAACTTTGACCTTGTGGTTGAATTATGTTAAATAAAAGAGTTTTAAAAAAAGGATGGAATGTGATGTGATGATATTGTTTATAGTTTTAATAGTTATATATATAAATATATTCTAGTTTTGTATTTTTGTTATATGACATATCTTAATTTTTTTTTGTGGTTCATATTATTTTCTTATTGGATATAATGATATTCCGTATATGTAGTTTTAATATTGATAATTATAATGATATAATGTTATTCCATATATATAGTTTTAATAGTGATAATTATAAAGATATAATGATATTCCATATATGTAGTTTAATAGTGATAATTATAAATTATTATTTTTTTATTCCTATTCGTATTCTTTTATTTGTTTGTGCTCAATTATTTGTTTTATAATTGAAAATTACGAAAAGGAAAACAATAATTGTAAAGGATAGTTGAATACAAATGTATAGTATATATTAATTATTATAATTCGCATGTCGAAAGAAGACAATTCAAGAGTTAAAAGTTGATAATGTTCAAAGGTACGATTCGGTAAATGACGAGGAAATGATCAATGTCCTAAAAGAACGATAATTATATGGTATCTGGGCTTTTGAAGGGTGGGTGTGTTGCAAATGTTAAATTAAAGAGAAAAATAATAAATGTTTAATTATTTTCAAGAAATGTTAATCAGATTATTATTCTTTTGATAATATGTTTTTATTGAAAAAATAATATTTTATTCAGTGTGTGATTTTTTATGAAATGAGTCGGAGATTTTATGAAATGAGTTATATATTTATGGGAATTTGAATTATTTGATATGATTATTATTATTATACTATTGGATTTGATATGAAAAATAAAGTGTGATTCTTGTAGTTTAAAACTTATCGTATCAAAGAGGTAAAAAAGGTTTATGTTCTTATTTTTTATGTATATTATCGTTTCTGTCGTTCCTGGAATTGGTTATGAGATAATAATAATTTCCCCAAAACGGAAATTATAATGTTTGGTATATTTAATTTTTTTTAGGTGGTCATTTAATGAATGGCCCATTATTCAAATTAAATTACTACTATTGACCACAATAACAATGTAAATAAATCTATTAAATATAAGGTTAATTTTGAGTTGCTAAATGTTAGGCAAATAATATATTTTCTTTTTTTTAAGAATTTTATTTCCCTTATTTATTATATGTACTAGTTAATAACCCGTCAAAAATGACGGGGTTGAGGGGCAATTAGTTTGTGTATATGGTATTAAATATACTTAATTAATTTATTATAAAAATATTAAAATTTAGGCGAAAAAGAGGTATATTTGTGAATCGCATCTCATAAGATATTCTTAAAATCTGATTCATCTATCATCGAATAAGGCAGAAAAGTATGATGACCCGTCTTTCTTGAAGGGCAAAATGAAAAATACATAACTAAGAGTATCAGAGCTCCCGTTAGTCAGCATTGCTGAGTCCGTCAAAAATGACGGGGAATGAGAATTATCTCCTTACTCTTATGATAGCTCTTACCTGTTATTTAAAAATAATATCCAATTTTTATTTTTTATAACCCTTTCCCACCTTCAGGTCAGGTTCAATCCATTAAAACAAAGTTCAAATGCTATGTTTTGAGTCAAAATATATTTAAAGCTTTTACATGATACCCATATGAATATTATTTGTTAAAATATTACTGGTCATTTATACCTATTATTTAATATTGAAAAAATTCCCAAGCAAGGTCCAAGGCCATAATAATTTTGAAAAATTTACCCTAACCAAAAATCATTATAATTTTGGTAGTTGAGAACTGGAATAAAATATTTTAAAAATCATAATGAATTAAAAAATTCCCAAGCGTCCAAGCTGATAATAATTTGAAAAATTTTCCCCAAGCGTAGCCCAATATAATTTATAAAAATAATCAGCCCAGCCCGATCCATTATAATTTTAAAAAAATTTTTTTGAACCTAACCAACCTATAACAATTTTAAAATTTTTTTCAGCTTCCAATAAAAAATATTATAAAAATATTTTTCAAGCCCAGCCCGACCCATTATAATTTTAAAAAAATTTTCTCAAACCTGGCCAACCGATAATAATTTTGAAATTGGTTTCCCAAACCTGGAGCTTCCAATAAAAAAGATAAATATTGATATATTTAAATTATTTTATCATAATATAGTTTCTATAAGAAAAATTGTATTACAAAATTATATAGAAGGGTGACTGGAAAGAAGGTTTGTTTAACAAACATTAAGTCAGTGGTTAATCTCGTTGATGTATAAAAAAATAAATAAAAATAACTTAACATTAAGGGTATATAGCTTTGATTTATTTAACATTAAGATGATAGGAAAGTTGATTCCAAAAATAAAAATTAACATTAAGATGATAGGAAAGTATATATCAAAAATAAAAATTAACATTAAGGTTATACGAAAACGTTGATTTCTTGATTACGGCGATTATATATATTAGATAGATATATATATTTTAAGAACAATTTCTAAAAAAATTTAAAAATGAAAAAAATTATAAAAAGGTAGGCACCCATCATCATGAGGGTACAATGTTTTTTAAAAAAAACTTCAAAAAAAGTTTTCTTTCCCCCATATCTTACAAATCAATTACTTAGACCACCCCCCCCTATTATAATAGCTACTGTTTTTGAGGGTGGTTTGTATTGTTATTAAAAGGCCCGATTTATGTCGATTTTTCAAAACGACCCGATTAAGATTTTCGCTAAAATAATATTATGTAAGCATCAAGATTTGGCAAATAGATACAGCCAAGCATTTATACCAGCTAAGTGCAGAATCTTTAAATAATGTTATTTTGCTTATAATATTAATCAGGGGGGTTTTTAAAATCGACCCGATTCAGACTTTTTAACAACACTAGTGATTTGCTTAGTGAATATTCTGTCATCATATAGTGGTCCAAAACCTCTAAAATTTGAGGAAACCTAATGATAAAGTTTAGCATATAATATAAGGATTATTTACATCTTTGTTTAATATTTTGATAAATCACATAGAAAGTCAAATAGTTCGACCTGTCAAATAATACATCACAATAAGATTGATTTTTAGTCAATCTTGTAATTTTAGAAAAACTATAGTTTATTTTAGGAAAAAAAGAGAGTAGGTTTGCGTAAATTTGATGTGATTTTGTGGAATATCTTGGGGTTCTAACCTAAATATGAATGGAGATTTGGCAAATGAAGAAAAAAAACATTTTTTCAGAATTATCAATGCTTATCGATATTATCGGTATATTTATAATCTTATTCTTATAAGATAATATATTTTTATTTACTAGGATATATTCAATTAAACGTCTAGAAAAGGGCAAAAAGTTTTTTGATACATTGCCTATGTATCAACAAAAATGGATTCCTACTTTTTCTTCAACATATGAGGATATGCTTACAGCAATTAATGCCAATAATCAATTTATAACTCAAATTATAAAACATTCAAAACATGTATTTCAAAATGGATATGACTATTTTGATAAAAGATATGTAATGATGAATTATTTGTTTATATTATTAAAATTAGAAAAATGAGGTTATTAAAGATTTGCATTATCAGATCCCTTCACAGTTTGATATGGAAAAGGTAGATAGCACTGTTAAACAATTTTTTAGAGACTGGAGTTTAGAAGGAAAATTAGAAAGAGATATTAGTTATACCCCAATATTAATTGATCTGCAATTATTATTCAAAGAAGATAGTAATATATAAATAAAATAACTAGGCAAAAATTAATATTAAAGCTTTTCAAGAAATATCAATATTAATTCCTGGTTGTGGACTGGGTAGATTAGTATATGAAATTGCTAAACTGGGATTCACTGCTCAAGGTAATGAATGGAGTCTCTTCATGTTGCTTGCCTCAAATTTCATTTTAAATAAGTTAGTCCTTTAAAATATAAATTAAAATATTTGATTTGTTTGTGATTATTCTTCAATATAAAATGGAAATAATTTTTTTTTATAAGTATGTATTTAGGTTATGGCAATGTTAACTCCTTAAAAACATTTGACCCTACCACTTAAAAAATTCATCCTTCTAAACCCTCCTGTAAAAGTTTTCTGCCCTACTATAATATTTTATTGTATAAAATTTATTACACTCACTTTATATCTAATTTAAACCATTTAGGTGACTGCCAAATTGTGTCTGGGGCAAGTTTTTTTTTAAATTGGGAAAGGTGGTATTAAAAACATGCAAAATTAAAAATGGGTTTTTGTGTCTTTTGTTAAGCTAATATGATAATTAGAATTTTTTTAGAATTAAAACAAAGGAATTATGCCATGTCTGACTTGATTTACAGGAATATGTTAAGCCATCTATATGGCTTCCTCTAATCATATTAAAAGTATTTATTACACACTTGAGATAAAACAGAATAGGGTATTTTCTTTCAAAATCTACAGAAGTATATTTCAAAAATAAGACAAACCAGGACAGTCTTTATAATTTTTTTTATCTTATATGAGTATAAATGTGTTTAATTTATATTTTTTAATAAAAATTCAGGACATATCAAAAATCAAAATAAAAGTTCTGGCCAAGTTAAAAATAAATAAATAATGTCAGACCAGATTTGGGCTTGTGAATTTATAAATTTTACCAGTCTGAGGTCCAGGTCATATTCGAGGTTAATGGCAGGTAGTGATCTGCATTGGGCTTAATTTTTAAAGCCTGGCCCAAAATTTTTTTTAAAAAAGTTTTGCCAGCTTGACCTGAACCCGGAATTTTTTTTAAAAAAATTTACCAACCTGGCCCGGCCCAAATTTATTTAAATATAGAAATTAATTTTTATAATTACTCTAAATAAAAGACATATGTTATATGTCGTTTAGTTTCAATAAATAAAATCAAATATTTTTATTTTACATAAAAAATTCATTATAAAATTAATAAATTTAGATATATTTAAAAAATTTCCTAGATTCAATCCGACCCGGCCCGAATTTTTTTTAAAAATATTAGGCCCCAGCCCAAACCCGATTATTTTTAATAAAATTAAGCCTGGCCCGAAGCCCTTTCGGGCCGGGTACAGGCCGGGCCTAACTTTGCAGAACTCTACTGGTAGAGCTCTAACTAGGCCTATTCAAAAATAATTCGATTCGAATCTAATTGAATAATTACGAATACGAATAATAAATTATTTTGTTTTATCTGAATACGAATAATCATTTATTCGATTCGAATAAAACGAATTATTCGTAATTAATAAATTGTTTAATAAATCTAACATTTGTTATTTCTATTTGTTGACCTGCCAATCGGACAGGTGATGTGTTTGTGTTTATAAAAATTCTAGCACAAATTTAAAAATTTCTGAAGTGAAAATTTAAATTTTTATTTGCCACATTTTTTAAATCTCACGAAAAGTTTATTTTTTGAATCTCATAATAAATTATATTAAAAATTACACAAACCAGAGGTACATAAAATATATTACATTTCTACAATAATTATTGTTAGCTAGCTTTATTATGTTAGAGGAGAATGCTTCTGATGAAATTATGCTTGATGTTGAAGATGAGAAAATTTCCTCACAAAAGAGAATATGGGATCAATATCAAATCCTTAAAGATAGTGAAAAGGCTGCTTGCAATCATTGCAAGAGTATTATAAAATGTAAAGGCAAAACAACATCTCCTCTTATTAATCATTATAATAGGTTTAATTCACACCTTAGTAAAAAAAATAATAAATTGACATTTTTTTAAAGTCTACACCAAATTCTTAAAAAAAAATTAATTTTAAGGATAATTTATTAAAATTATTTATAAATCATAATATTCCTTTTAAAATTCTTAATTCTAATGATTTTAAAAATTTTATAAGTGATCTTGATTGTTCTGTAAAATCAATATGCTCCAATACTCTTAAATTGCACATGTATAATACATTTGAAGAAAAAGAACAATTGGTAAAGGAAATAATATTTAAAAATAAAAGTCAGATTAATTTTTCATCTGACATTTGGACTAGTCCAACACAGGTTCCTTTTTTAGGAAGTTAATGGACCAATTTAAAGAGATTTACAATAGATATATAGGTATTTAATTTACTCCCATTTAAATATGATTTTATTTTATAAGCTCATAATTAAAACTGTCAAACAAATAAGGATAAAATTCAACAAAACAGGCTAGACATTGTTTTTAAACAAAATAATATTCAACTGTGTGAAATAGATTTTTATCTGAGTGAACCAAGAGCAAAGAGTGATACTGACCCGTTAATGTGTTGGAAGGCAAATGCATATCGGATCCCCATACTCTCGAAAATGGCAAGGGATTATCTATCTATACAAGGAACATCAACTGCTTGTGAAAGGCTTTTCTCAGTTGGAACTAATTTATTGTCAAAAAACCGCATGTCATATAAGGAAGAAAATATAAGAAAAACTCTTTACCTTAAAAATTGGCTTAAATTATAAATTAAATTAATAATATATATTTTAATTTTGTTTATAACTTGATTATATATTATTTATTATCAGATTATTGATTACATATTATTATAATATTTTCTGTTTAAAATCAAATTTGTAATAAAAAAATTTGTCAATATATTTGAGTATGATTTATTTTATTAAAAAAATTTATTCGAATAATTCGAATCGAATACAAATAGTAGATTTTATTATTCGTACGAATTCAAATAGTAAATTATTCATAATGCACTATTCGATTCGAATTCGTTTTTGAATAGGCCTAGCTCTAACCATAATGATTGAGAATATTTGAAAATTTGTGTTCCAAAAATTGGAGTCATGCAAATGAGTGACTTTTCGGTTTTGTGGCCCATGTGAAGTGAAACTAACATTTTTTTATTGCAGTATTAGGATGGTTAAGGCATTTATCTGCTCTAATAATTTTTCGTTTGCATAACTTGATATTACACTTCCACAATGATATTTCTTTTGGAGAAAGTTACTTAGCATTGAAAAAAATAACTGATGGAAGAGAGCTAAAGCAACATTATATCAATATAAAAAATTAAAATTTTTTACTCCCACCTGATTTTGTTTTCTTATAAATTTATATTAACAGTTTTAATCATGGTCTCTACAAATATTTTTTATTCCATACCCCCCCCCCCCGCGTTAGTGTACCCCTACCTCCTAAAAGATCCCCTCCCCCCAAGTCATATATATAAATATTGATTCTAAATTCAATAACAAATATATACAAAATTCGATTTGATTTAAATGGCTGTGAATTTTACTTGAAATAACCAAGTTTTATGTGAAATCACATAAAGATTTAGGCATTATTTATCAATATTATATACTTATGATTAGGTAATGGAAATTAATATCTTACTTCTCAGAATTTTTCTGAGAAAAAGTTTAAGGATAATCGTTTCCCCTTTGTTTGCATTCCATAATTCTTAATCGTAGTTTCATTCCCGCATTTTTAACTATGATATTTTTGCTCTTAAAGTCTTTTCTGTATTATTATTTTATTAAAGTTGCAAGACCATAAATGCTTACCAAATACATCCTTGGCTACACCAATATACCAACAATTATCAAACCACTCAACAAACAGCCCACATAGCGATTCCAGATGTAAATCCATCCGATATACCAGAAAATTCCAACTTTTCCATGTCTGCAGGGGACTTTTTAGAAATTTACACGGAAGAAAGTTAAAGCGATATTTTAAAAAAATATATTAATATTTTGATTGGAAGATAAATTTAATAAGATACGCATTAATGCCTGGCCCTGATCCACTTCTCCGACACAGCATTTAAAACGTTTATAATGTTAGAAGATATTACTTACGTATATAATGCTTCGTTAAAATAAAGTGGATAGGCCTTATAGACAAAGAATAATATATTAGGGTTGTTAAACGATAATGCTTCGTTAAAATAAAGTGGATAGGCCTTATAGACAAAGAATAATATATTAGGGTTGTTAAACGATCCACTTTAAAAATTCTTATTCCCATCTTTTTAATAAAATCGTTTTTTTCTTGTTCCTTTAACATTACCGAGTTTTGAATAATTCGAATTAAATAGTAACGAATACGAATAGTAAATTATTCGATTCAATAAACGAATTATTCGACAAATAATTCAATTATTCGAATATATAATCGATTATTCGGAATATTTCATTTGTCATTTCTATTGCTAACCTACCAATTTAATGGGTGATATGATTAACCACGGCATACGTAAACTGCGTGTGAAAGGCCTTTCTTGGTTTGAATTAATTTTCTGTCATAAATCTCAAAAGAGAAGAAACAATAAGAAAAAACTCTTTGCTTTAGAATGGTTTGGCTTTATAAATTAAATTATTATGCATTTTAATTTCGTTAATAACTTGATTCTCAATGTTCTTTATCATTACATTATTTCTAGTTAATTTCGATTTAGTTTTTGAATAGGCCCATTTCCGTTAGATAAAATTAGATTCATTTTTTTTTCTCGATGAATCGCTCTAAATTTGATTTTGATTAAGTATCGATTTTAATAAAATTATTCTTAAAAATATCGGGAAAGTAAAATTTTAGAGACCGACCAATATGATACAAAGATCTCAATCAAGATCTTCATTTTTGTATGAATTTTCGATCCACTGAATTTGCCCAAATTGGGATCGGATCCAGAATCGTCAATTTTTTTTAATCGTGATTCCTTAACAACTTTTTAATTTCAAGATGCCTGGGATTCCGTTATAACATGCTTCTTCGTCGACACTGCCCATAACATATTAGATTACTTTGAAACCATTCAAAAAATACTCAAACCTGGTGGATATTGGATTAATTTTGGTACATTTTTTTAAAATATATTATTTTAATAAAAATTGCTTGTTTTGTATTGTTTATTTTTTTTCCTCTGAGCATTTGAAAACTACTGATTATTTTTCCCCAAAACCTCTATTTGAATACAAGCAAAGTCCCCATATCTTTATTGGTTTCCAGGGTATTGTTATTAATACTACCAGCCTTCTCTGTTTCTGACGAAAAGCTTAGAAGGGAAGAGGGACTTGTGTTGTTATAACCGTATTTATTGTTTTGCTCTAAGGGGAGGGATAAATCACCTATTATTAATAGGATCCAATTTATAAGTTTAAATAAGGTTTTTAAAAAAAATTGAAAAGTAGGTAAATGCCTCTTTAACTTCCTTTATATAATACACAACTGACCCACACATTACTATGAATCAGGGTTCGAAAGTCAGGCAATAGACCGAAGGTTGAAAAATATTAATGGTGAATAAATATATTAATTTAATTAATTAATATATATTTAAAGCATGTTTATCAATTTGATTAGGTTACAATTTATTTTAAAATATATTTGAATCATAAAGACATCGATTTAGTTATAATTTTATATTAAAATATTGAAATTTTTTTTAATATATAAAAACAAAAGAATTTTTTTTCATTAATGATTGGATTGGATCTCCATATATAAGTAAATATAATAATTTTTCTATAGCATGGTTTGAGAAAATTACTATGCCATATGTACAATTATTCAACTAAGATGGCCATCGCCAATAAAATGTAAGGAGCAAATACAAATATGCAGGAAAGCTCTGAAGGCAGCTGTTGGAGAAGTTGGATATTTGTCCGAACGTAATTATCTATAATATATTAAATGAAGAAATATTTTGGACGAAAAATTTAAAATTTTAAACTACTCTTTAAGATTTATAGGTTCAACGGGATGAATATACTTTATCCCACGTAATAAACGATATGCTTAATTTGCAAAACACACAATTCATGCCATGATTTTTATAATTTCTCTACCCGAAGAAAACAAAAATTAAATATACGTTTGAAAAGGTAAAATCAATCCAAATTCATATGCTCACACAGCAGTTTATTTATTGGAATCCCATTATAAGGGGAGCATTTTCTAGTAGTGAGTTTGATGAAGCATGTGATATATAATATAAGAATTAGGCATTTTTCATGATGATATTCAAAATATATAATCATAAATTTCAGAAGTAAAAGCGGCGGTAAATTTAATATCCAAAATATGTGGAAACCAATAACTTTTATAAAAAATAATCAGATTTTTAAGTTGTTGGAATAGGCTTTGTCCACCTTGGACATTAAGATTAGTGTCTAATGTCTTACTAACAATACCTAGTTAAGCTTCTTTTTTAGAATAAAATTCATTCAGTTTGGGGTAATATCCATACCAAGATAAAAAATCGATTGAAGATCATGACCTAAGATTGATTAAAAATATTAAGGAAGGATAATATTGAATATAAATCGGAACAAGACTCTGCCATGAATTGTAGATTTTAAAAAAAATATTATTTAATATTACATAAATTCATTTTTTTTACTATTATATATAAAGCAAGGTTAATATTGTCTTTAAAAACATTTATTTTGATTTGACCTGTCAGATATAGGTCAATTCACCGTCATATTTGACCGGTCAAATGCATAACCCCCTGCTATGAATCAATAATCGAAAATGTCTATCTGATTAGGCTGGTTCTGATATCTTGCATATGTGGCATTATCGCAAAAGTAATTTTACAAATTTTTAGGGGGTTTTCACTAATCTCGGCTAATATTTTCTGCGCCATATATTTTATAATCAAAGAAAATAAAATTATATCAGATTTTTTTATTTATTGTTTTTTTAGGTCCATTGCTTTATCACTATGCAGATATGCCCAATGAAACGTCTATCGAACTTAGTTACGAACAAATAAAAATCGCTATCATCAAAATGGGGTTCAAACTTATTGTAAGATATTTTGATTATAAAGTTGCGAAAATTATTGAATAATATTAGGTGGGAAAAGGGAGGTGGATAAATTTAAAAAAATGATAAAACATAGGGTAAATAGACTCATGATTTTTATCGTCTTACAGGGTTTGCAGCTGTTTTAAAACAGGAACGCACATTATGAGAGCACAAAATACTTAATTTTTATATATTTTGTTCTTTCTCATTCAATTCTATTATCATATAAAAACAAATTTAAAAAAATGTTATTACCCCTATTTTTACCGTTCTTTCGAACGAATTCCCATATAAAATTTGGAAAGTAATATAGAATCAAATACTATTAAAGAGGTTTAAAAGAATGATATCAAGTTTTCTAAAAAATCCATCATTGTGTCGCCCTGAAACACTAAAAGCATTTGTTTATTGGTATAAAAAATATAAATCGCATTGACATATGGAACTTGGAACGTTGAATAATGAATATTTACTTTTCATGAATATTATTTAAAATGAATCATGAAGAAAGAAAATTAACTATTAAATTGAAGGAATATATAAATATTTTGCTTAGCCATGACGGTCATAAGTTATTAAAACTAACAATTTCATTTTTATAAAATATTGATTATTTAGCTATAAATAAATTTTTTACAGATTATTCTATTATTATATAATATATTTTTATGCAATACCATTGACACACAAAATTATTTTAATTATATAAATTTATTTTGAAATTTTTTTTGTAAATAGATGTTCAACTAATTTTTATGAATAAATATTATAAGTTTCATGTAAAAAATTATTTATTTTTAATAAATGCTCGTTTTAAATGAGAATTTGTTAGAAAAAATGGTATAGGGGTATTGGCTTTTTTTATTTAAAAAAATGTTGATTACATTTTTTGTGCTCTCCATAATAAGAGTTTCTGCTAAAACAACGGTAAACCCTGTATTATAAAGATGACACTCTGTAGACATATTATAAATGCCTGATCTGGGCTAGGCTAGTTTTCAGGATATGACGTGAATATGGTTTAATTAATATAAGAGCCCACATTTGCATTAAGGAAAATAATTATAATTACATGTCCTTTTATTTTACCAACTTATCAAACGAAAATATCATATCTTGATACAATTATATGTAGTGTTGCGTAATCGGCTAATTTTAGCCGACTAAAAACGGCTTAGCCGAGATTTTAGGTGGAAAAATCGGCTAAGCCTAATTAGGTATAGCCTAAAAATCGGCTAAACCTAATTAGGCTAAGCCTAAAAATCGGCTAAGCCTAAAAATTGGCTAAGCCTAAAAATCGGCTAAGCCTAAAAATTGGCTAAGCCTAAAAATGGGCTAAGCCTAAAAATTGGCTAAAATAAATTAGTCAAAATTCTGCATCAATGTTAGCATTAATTATTATTTATTTATTTTAGTAAAATAATTTATTTTATTTATATTTAATGTAAATATTTTATTATTATCAACAAATAAACATGATATGATTTAATATTTTTTATTTATATTATTATATTTTGAAATGAAAATAAATTTATTTATTTGATGTTTTTTTAATAAAAAAAATAATATGCTGCTATATTGTAAAAATGTAATATTCTTTATAATATAATTTATTAGTGATTTTCACAATCTTCTTTGTAAATACATCTTTTATTGAGGAATTATATTGTAAATTTTATTAGATAAATAAACAATCTTTTAGGTGAAATCTTTTATCATTTTTTTAAAATTATCTATTTATTATTAAATAAGGTGGATTTTATGAAACTTTTTTGATGTTATTTTATATGATCTTTTTAAGGATAATATTTTAATGTGACAATTGTCATAATCGTTCTTTTATAAGTTTTTTGAATTTTTTTGAAGGAAGTATGTTAAAATAAGTATTAATAACATGTGTAAATACAAATTTAGTGAAGATGTACCAATGAAAAGTGACAATTGTCATAATCGTTATTTTTAAAGTTTTTCGAATTTTTTTGACGAAAATATGTTAAAATAAGAATTAATAACATGAGTAAATATAAATTTAGTGAAGATGTACCAAAGAAAAGTGACAATTGTCATAATGGTTAATTTTAAAGTTTTTTGAATTTTTTTGACGAAAATTTGTTAAAATAAGTATTAATAACATGTGTAAATATAAATTTAGTGAAGATGTACCATAGAAAAGTGACAATTGTCATAATCGTTATTTTTAAAGTTTTTTGAATTTTTTTGACGAAAATATGTTAAAATAAGTATTAATAACATGTGTAAATATAAATTTAGTGAAGATGTACCAATGAAAAGTGACAATTGTCATAATCGCTATTTTTAAAGTTTTTTGAATTTTTTTGACGAAAATATGTTAAAATAAGTATTAATAACATGTGTAAATATAAATTTAGTGAAGATGTACCATAGAAAAGTGACAATTGTCATAATCGTTATTTTTAAAGTTTTTTGAATTTTTTTGACGAAAATATGTTAAAATAAGTATTAATAACATGTGTAAATATAAATTTAGTGAAGATGTACCATAGAAAACTGACAATTGTCATAATCGCTATTTTTAAAGTTTTTTGAATTTTTTTGACGAAAATATGTTAAAATAAGTATTAATAACATGTGTAAATATAAATTTAGTGAAGATGTACCAATGAAAAGTGACATTTGTCATAATCGTTAATTTTAAAGTTTTTTAAATTTTTTTGAAGAAAATATGTTAAAATAAGTATTAATAACATGTGTAAATATAAATTTATTGAAGAAGTACCAATGAAAAGTGACATTTGTCATAATTGTTATTTTTAAAGTTTTTGGAATTTTTTTGAAGAAAATATGTTAAAATAAATATTAAAAACATGTTTAAATTAAAATTTAGTGAAGATGTGCCATAGAAAAGTGACAATTGTCATAATCGTTATTTTTAATTTTTTGAATTTTTTTGACGAAAATATGTTAAAATAAGTATTAATAACATGTGTAAATATAAATTTAGTGAAGATGTACCAATGAAAAGTGACAATTGTCATAATCGTTAGTTTTAAAGTTTTTGGAATTTTATTGACAAAGATATTTTAAAATAAGTATTGATAACATGTTTAAATAAAAATTTAGTGAAGATGTACTCTAGATAAGCGACAATTGTCATAATCGTTATTTTTAAAGTTTTTTGATTTTTTTTGACGAAAATAGTTAACTTGCATCGATATTGATTTTAAAATAGAAAAAAAAGTTTACCCAAATTTTAAACAAGATTGTCTGATGAAAATTGGTAAAAAAATAATAATTTCTAACTTAGGATTAGATATTATGATATAAATTTTGCATATTAATTTCTGACCCGATGAACAAATGTAATAAAATGCCAATTTGCTCCTGTTTTTGGGGAAGAATCTATTATTACCATATGTTTTTCTATGGCATATACTCAGGCAATTTTAATTTTACAATCTATATTTTTACCCATTTACATCAAAGAAATTTTAAAAATAACGATTATGACAATTGTCACTTTTCTATAGTACATCTTCACTAAATTTTTATTTAAACATGTTATTATTACTCATTTTAACATATTTTCGTCAACAAAAATTAAAAAACTTTAAAAATAACGATTATGACAATTGTCGCTTATCTAGAGTACATCTTCACTAAATTTTTATTTAAACATGTTATCAATACTTATTTTAAAATATCTTTGTCAATAAAATTCAAAAAACTTTAAAAATAACGATTATGACAATTGTCACTTTTCATTGGTACATCTTCACTAAATTTATATTTACACATGTTATTAATACTTATTTTAACATATTTTCGTCAAAAAAATTTAAAAAATAACGAATATGACAATTGTCACTTTTCATTGTCTTCACTAAATTTATATTTACACATGTTATTAATACTTATTTTAACATATTTTCGTCAAAAAAATTCAAAAAACTTTAAAAATAACCATTATGACAATGTAAATTTTCTATGGTACATCTTCACTAAATTTTATTTAAACATGTTATCAATACTTATTTTAACATATTTTCTTCAAAAAAATTCAAAAAACTTATAAAATAACGATTATGATAATTGTCACTTTTCTATGGTACATCTTCACTAAATTTTTATTTAAACATGTTTTTAATACTATTTTAACATATTTTCTTGAAAAAAATTCCAAAAACTTATAAAATAACGATTATGATAATTGTCACTTTTCTATGGTACATCTTCACTAAGTTTTTATTTAAACATGTTTTTACTACTTATTTTAACATATTTTCTTCAAAAAAATTCAAAAAACTTTAAAAATAACGATTATGACAAATGTCACTTTTCATTGGTACATCTTCACTAAATTTATATTTACACATGTTATTAATACTTATTTTAACCTATTTTCTTCAAAAAAATTCAAAAAACTTATAAAATAACGATTATGACAAATGTCACTTTTCATTGGTACATCTTCACTAAATTTATATTTACACATGTTATTAATACTTATTTTAACCTATTTTCTTCAAAAAAATTCAAAAAACGTATAAAATAACGATTATGACAATTGTCACTTTTCTATGGTACATCTTCACTAAATTTTTATTTAAACATGTTTTTAATACTTATTTTAACATATTTTCTTCAAAAAAATTCAAAAAACTTTAAAAATAACGATTATGACAATTGTCAATTTTCTATGGTACATCTTCACTAAATTTTTATTTAAACATGTTATTAATACTTATTTTAACATATTGTCGTCAAAAAAATTCAAAAAACTTTAAAAATAACGATTATGACAATTGTCACTTTTCTTTGGTACATCTTCACTAAATTTATATTTACACATGTTATTAATACTTATTTTAACCCATTTTCTTCAAAAAAATTTATAAAATAACGATTATGACAATTGTCACATTAAAATATTATCCTTAAAAAGATCATATAAAATCATCAAAAAAGTTTCATAAAATCCACCTCATTTAATAAAAAATATAATTTAAAAAAAATGATAAAAAAATGATAAAAGATTTCACCTAAAAGATTGTTTATTTATCTAATAAAATTTACAATATAATTCCTCAATAAAAGATGTATTTATAAAGAAGATAGTGAAAATCACTAATAAATTATATTAAAAAGAATATTACAATTTTACAATATAGCAGCATATTATTTTTTTTATTAAAATAACATCAAATAAATAAATTTATTTTCATTTGAAAATATAATAATATAAATAAAAAATATTAAATCATATCATGTTTATTTGTTGATAATAATAAAATATTTACATTAAATATAAATAAAATAAATTATTTTACTAAAATAAATAAATAATAATTAATACTAAGCATCGATGCAGAATTTTGACTAATTTTTTAGCAGATTTATATAGGCTTAGGCTTAGCCGATTTTTAGGCTTAACCTAATTAGGCTTAGCCGATTTTTAGTTTTAGCCGATTTTTAGGCATACCTAATTAGGCTTAGCCGATTTTTAGGCTTAGGCTAATAGGCTTAGCCGATTTTTAGGCTTAGGCTAATAGGCTTAGCCGATTTTTAGGCTTAGCCTTATTAGGCTTAGGCGTAGTTTTTAGCCGATTACGCAACACTAATTATATGCTAATAAGATTCTTAAAAAAAATTTTTTTTACTCTGGTATTTGAGTGCTATTATTCACTCGTTAAATAAAATATTGTCCTAGCTGTTTTGATATAAAATGAACTTTCGTTTTTTTTATCTCAAAAAAGCTTAGTATATAAACGAAAATAAATCTCCAACTTATAAGATTAATTTTAATTATATATAAAAACCCCATTATTTTAAGAAAAAATAAATTAAATGTATTTTAATACTAACCCTTATAAAAAAATATAATCATTTTTTTTAAATGTTTTTTAATACTAACCCTTATAAAAAAAAATATAATCATTTGTTTGGAAATTTTTCATTTTTTACAACCATTTTATAAATCGCTAATAAATAAATTTTTTTTTTGATTTTTCAAATATTTATTAAGAATTTTTACAATCAAATTTAAGATTAAAAACGATTACAATAAGTTAAATTTTTTATTTTAAATATTAGAAATATACATAACATATTTATAAAAAAAAAATTTTAAAGAGAAAACTATTTTAAAAAATAAATATTTAGGCTAAAGTCGGTGGGGCTTAATGACCCATGTATAGATTATACAGTTGGATCGGCAAATTTCGATCTATAGTATCACTTTTTTTTATAAAAATTAATTTTTATATATGAGTAATTTTAAAATTTTGTTAAAATAATTTTTAAAGCACGTTTTGTTCGTTTTTTTAGATCCCTAATTTTAATATAAAGAATCCCAGTAAATCAATCTAAATTATTATTTTTTTCAATAATGATTAGACGATATATTCAACTGCGTATCTTAGTAATATTTAATTATTTTTAAAAACAATATAAGCTCACCTTCGGTTGCTTTCACAATTTATTATATTAATTTTTTATAAATTCAGAAAGAAAAATGCAATATTCAAACCGGTTACGCGCAAAATCCAAAATCCATGTTGCAATACCTCTACAACTGTGTTTATTTCATTGCTCAGAAACCGAAATAATATCTTTTTTTAAAAAAAAAACTGCGTGTTAGGTCTATCTGTAAAAATAATATTTCCGGAAATAAAATGTGATCAAAGGTGGAACACTGTTTTATAGTGGATCCTCTTAATATATTATTTATGTGTAGAAATAGATTCGGAATTTAAATAAGAAACCTACCTATTTTTTAAATATCAAGATAACAGTAAAACAACCACTATTACCCTATAATAAACCGGGCTATATAGCGAAACCTTTTTTTAAAAAAATGTCAATAAAATTTGTAAGTTCGGATTAAAGTCGTAATCCCATTAATTATTAACACTTTTAAAATCAAATATGAGTACAAATCTTACCTCTTTATCCATTTCTTTAGTTATTAATAATTGTAATGTTTTCTTCATTTTATATAAATAAAATTTTTGTTTAGAAAAAAAGATTATGAAATTTAAGAAGCTCTATAACGAATATATGTAATTTGATAATTTATTTTAAAATTACATTTTTTTAACTAGGATTTTTATTTTAAAAAATAGCTTTTATAATAGACCCCCTAACGTCAGTAGGAACGGCTCGTTTTGAGTCGATTTTAAAAACGGCTACAATATTTTAGCCAGAAAAATATTGCCTAAGCCTCGAGATTTCTCTAATCAAAAACCTTTGTTCCTTCTACAAACAAAATTATTTTCAGGCTTGCGTGATAGTATTCTGGATGGAATATTGAATTAGCCGTTTTTAAAATTCGCCTCAAAATGAGTCGTTTAACAACACTACAAGTCAGATCGTTTAAATTTATGATCATTGTAAAAAAAAAGGTTACTTAATTTTACGAAATTCTATTTATCGATTCTTATAGGATTGAGGAAATAATGAGCAGATTTTTGTTAACAACATTCAAGGATCTCACTCCAAGTTCATGTTTAATTTTTTTAAAGAGTTTGTAAAATTATAAAAATTAATTTTTTTTTTCTTTTCTCTATATTGAAAAAAAAGGAGTTGAATTATGCCGGGGTAAAAATAGAGTGAAGATTTATTATAGTGAAGATCAATATTATTTTTTATACCTATCAAATTTAATATAATATTTCTCCGGATAAAATAATGAGTTAGCCTTTTTGAAAAAACGGCTAAAATCAAGTCGTTTTCACTTAGATACTTGTATTTATATTATTTAAAAAAAATATATATCGACACTTTTTTTTAAACGTTGTAGATCAGATTTAAACGTAAAATTCTAATCCATGAGTTAGATTATATATTAATATATTTTAAGAAAATTCGGGCCGGATCGGGTCTTAGAAACTTTTTAAAATATATCTAAATTTACAATTTTATGTAAAATGAAAATATGCGACTTTATTTATAAAAAAGGAGACGCCAAATAACATATATCGTTTATTTTGAGTAATTATAAAAATTAACTTCTATATTTAAATAAATTCGGGTCGGGATTGAAAAATTAGGCCCGATGCAAATCATATTATATATTAAGAAAGCTTTTAAATAATATGGCGAAAATCTCGAAATTTTTTATCTCCAAAACAAATGTAAGTAATCGTAATTTTTGACAATTATTTTTAGGAAAAAAATATTTTTTTTTTAGATGCATTTAAGAGAATACAATGTGATACATTCGAATCACTTGATCCATTATCAGCTTTTATAATAAACGGAAACCGACATGATTACGAGAAAATTGATAATTTATTTAGTGTGACTTACAAATGTATACGATGTGATTTTGGAGGGAAAAATATGTGACAAAAACATAGGAATCTTTTAGAACATTGTTTTATCATATCCGATAAATTTTTAAGTCACCTGTGTGTCGCATTGAATGATATAATATTTTTTTTAAAAAAATTGAAATTAATAAATATTATTTTATAAAATAAAAAAATTTGACAATAATAACATTGAATAAATAATTTATGAATGACATTTTTGAAACAAAAAAAAATGGAATATATATATTAGTTTTTATGTGCAATTTTTTTAAAATTAAATGTGATTTTTCGTTTTTTTTGTAAAGAAAATTGATTGATAACATTTTAAGTTTTTTTAAAAAAATGTATTGTATACATTGACATTATTACTAACCTAAACTACCAATTAATTTATTAAAAGTGTACATGCATTGAATCATCTGTAATTCAGTAGACAACGTAGAAAGACATTTCAATGGCGTCTTGCAATATACAAACTTTTTAATAAATATATCGTCACTTTTGATTAGTATCAATGCCATTGATTTTAGTATAATATAAAATTTTATTGTGAGCCACTTTGTAAAGGAAATAGTTATATCTTGGAATGTTAATATACGTTCTTTCCTTTTTTCGCGACGGTCCTCAACTTTTCGCCTGTTAAATATGGATTGCTGGGCTAAAAAATTAGAAGAAAACATATTTTTATAAAATATTTATTCTTTTCAATTTATGCCAAATAATTTTTGATCAATATTAATAATAGTTCCAAATTCGTAATTTCAGGAACTATAATATTTCATATATAATTCATTTCCCGAAAGGATGGATGAGGGAGCATATTTATATATTTTTTGGATTAAGTTTTATTTAATTGCTATAAAAAAAACTTTATTGGTAGAAAGTAAATTAAACTGCTTCTTAACTGGAATTCTTGGTTATTTTCATTAAAGATTTTTTTTTGAAGATGGTTATTTTATTCGATATCATTTTTTAATATTTATTATCTTTTAAAATTATTTTATCATCGTATTAAACTATAACTGAACCCATATCATTAAAATGAGATTTTAGCGATGAACCGATTGATTAGTCCCGTTTGATCGGGTAATATGGCTTTCTATAAATTGTAACAAGGTTGGGGAGTAATTAATCACACGTGTAATCAATAACTTTTTTGTAATTAATAACTAATTCTACTTTTTATAAAAAGAAGTTAGTAATTTTAATTAATTACATTTTTTCAGGCATGTAATTAGGAATTAGTTATAATTTAATTGACTAAGCATCGTTGCCTTCATCAGGGTAGAAAGATCGTTTATCTTTACAATTGTGTTAAATAAGGAACTGGTTGATAAATAGATACTTTTAAGAAAAGTTTTACATTTTTTAAAAAATATTAGGTAAAATATATTCAATATTATTTGTTGATTCGTAGAAAAATAGCTTCAAATGTGTATGCCCAGAATATCTATTTTTATTTAGACATAAATGGCATTGCATTTTGCAACGCAGAATTAGATTGCATTTCTTAACATAAAATGTAAAAATATAATCATTTATATGCAAATGTCTTTTGATATCGTACTTATTATTTAAAAGTAGAATCTTAATATTTTTCAAACATAAAACAATTGTAATAAAGATAAAATATTATAATTGAGTTATTTTTAATCAAACTCTACTTTAATTTTACTATAAAGGAATTATAATTATAATAACGATTACATGTGATTAGTAATTAATTATCATTTTTTGAAAAGGAATTAGTGATTATAATTAATTACAAAAAAATTTACAATTGTAATTTGTAATTAATTTAAATTTTTGAGTAATTAGTGCCCATCCCTGATTTGTAGTTATGTTATCAAATAAATTATTAAAACCTTTTCTTGATTTTCAAGTTTTTTGGGTATATGTTCCCCCTTTTTAGCTACGATTGGATGGTCCTTTCTTTTACTCTGCACAATTCAACAAAATAAAAAATTAAAGGGTAAAAGATATAAAGGAAATTTTTTTAAAAAAAATGAATTTAAAATATAAAGAGGCAATTGATTAAGTTAGTTTTACAAAAATTAGAATATTTAATTAATGTAGTCAAAGGCATTGCCAAAATTTTGCAAAAGGGGATGCCCTATTGGAAGGTTTCCGCTATAAATGTTATCGGAAGGGGGCTTTAGGCAAATTTATTTCTTCGGATGGGTAACATTTTTTAAAAAATTTGGTTACATATTAAAAGACTTTTCTGAAAGTTTTCAATTATTTTACTTAAAAAAAATTATCGTTTAAAACGAAACTATTTTATTTAATTTCCGGATAGACGAGTGGGAGTAATCATTTTTTTATTGGCTATTTATAAAAAATTTAAAATGGGGGTAAAACGCCTTTTCCCTTGTCCACGCTCATGAGACAGATTTCATGTTCTTAATTAATTTAGCAACAAACCTGCGTTCACAGTAGCGCAAATTCGTAGTGAAGTATATAGAATATCATAGAAATATAATAATTTTACATTCATTTTTGAACACATCGTCCCGAATTTGCCCAAACTATGAATGCAGGGTAAGGCGATGCATTGTGAGGTCCGGCACGATTTAGCATCTGAGAAATATTGATGAAATCAATTATTTCTTTAAAATTGGTCTTTTACATTAAATTAATATTAATAAAGAAAAATAGATCTCAGAAACATATCTTAAAAATCGATCAGCTGTTAAATTGTGTGGCCCACAATTAATCCAACCTAACAAGCCAATATAAAAGCGTAGCCAGTTACGTTGAAAAGAAAAAGTCGATCGTTTCAGGATCAGGCATGAACACACGTAAATTAAACCTCGAAATTCTTCAAGATATTAGCTATCCTTTCCGACATGCCCTTGCCCATTAAATTACCGGCCGGCCATACGGCGTTATTCAGAGGCGAATGTTTTGGTGGTAGGATGAATTGAGTATGTTCTTCCGGGCAATCGAACATGTGTTCAGGGTCGCATAAGCAAACTTGTTGGGACTGATAATCTCTACTGAAATCCGCAGTGTTTTTCACATCTTCTAAACAGTTGTCGTCACCTTTTTTTTAAATTAAGATTTATCATTTAATAGGGATGGTAAGGAATGAATTTTATGTTTAGAAAAAAGAGTAAATATTTATATATTGAATAACCTTTGGTAAAAATAACTTTTATATCAATTATTGAATATGGGATTGTAAAAATATGAGTGACGGTTATCTCATTTGGATATCTTTTGGGTGTAAATTGTCAAGGACAAATTTATCTTTCTTAATAGGTGTTTAGTGTTGATTTTTTTTTATATTGTTTATCCCTTTCATGCACAGAAAAAAAGTCATATTTACCTTGAAATATAACGTATTTTTACAGGATTTTTTTAAAAAAAAATGGAATATTATATAATAACCATTTGTTTTTATTTATATCAAAAATTCGTTTTAAAGCTTAAAAAAAATAAAAAGAATAAATTTTCTGGTGGGTTGGTTTTTATTATCATAATACAATAAGGGTACCCCAAAAAAGTGGATTATAATTTGACTTAGACTGAATGAAAGGGTTATTATTAAAATAATTGTTTTCAGATTATAATATATATATGCGCTATCTTAGTATGATAATAAACGCCCTTCAATATACTATGAAATATTTTGAATAAAAATAAAAAAAATTTATATTTCTAATTAGCAGAGTTATTAAAGTATCTAGAATAAAAATGTGGTATCTGTTACTATATACACTCTAATAAAAAAATATCTATATCTATACTATTTTAGAGGTATCTGTATCGTTTTAGATATTATTTAAGATACATTTCGATATACTTTTATTTAACGCTTTTTTATATTAAAAATAAATATTTTAATGCAATATTTATTTATGGGCATATAATTTAAATAAATATTTATTAAAAAATATTAATACTAATATTATAAAAAAAAAATATATATATAATATTAAAATTTATATAAATATTAATTAGATTTTTTTTTCTCCCATTTAATAGATATCAGTTCAAGATTGTAAAGGATATTTTTATTATGTAAAAGAATATGACGCCTAATAATGATGAAAAACAATACCATTGATACCTAAAACTATTTTAAGCGAATATATTTATTAACTTAAAATAATTTTATAGGTATTCCCCTGAATTTTAATAAATAAATTATAAGTTTTATGTAAAAAATTTTTATTATTATTATTTTATATTTTCGTACTCTCATAATAAGAGTTTCTGTTCGTGAACAAAGGAGAACCCTGTATATAAGTATAATAAAAATTGTATCTGTATTCGATACGTTGTTAGGTGATGTATTTTATCTAGATCCATTTAAAAAGCATCTTTTAACAACTCTGCTAATTAGTAAGTTCCTACATTCTAGTTTTAAAGGAGAATAAATAAATTAAGCACTTCACGGTTTGGAAGATTAATCTTTTTTAATCCTTGATCATCTTTCATAAAAGTTAATTTTATTTAGATTTATTTTGCAAATTACTAGTGTAACCATATGGGCAAGGGTTAGGTGGATCGCAGTAAGTGGGCAAAAATGCGTCAGTCTTGATATCTTGAATATTTTTGAAAAGTCCCATGGGACTCAAGGATTGAATTCCTTCTCCAGCTCCACCTTGATATGTGTATGTATAAAAAAATTATATATTATTATTTAAAAAATGTCCTATTTAAAATAAGTCCAAAAGTAGGGGGGCATACGAAAAAGCAAATTCAGCTTTGAACCTTGTCATAAAAAAGCAATTCTTCATCATACTATTACTTTAGGCTAAGGGCATACCAGAAGCATTCGAGTGCATAATTAAAATCTAGATTCATAAAAATATCAATTTCCAAAAATAAGTAAATAGGTATCCGCGGGTTATTAATTGTCTGGTCAAGTATAATGGGTCCAACAATACATGCATAAAAAATGAAGCCGGGCCTCGAAAATCCTTGTTTTAAAATTTGATTAATATTCATTTGAAATAACAACAATGAACTTCTTATTTTCATTTTGTTTTAAAAACTACCAAACTAAAGTTAATTCTAAAAATGAAATCTATAAAAAATAAATCTGTTCCTTTATTTTATAGTAATTTCTAGGCCGCTCCAGACATTTTGTAAAAATTTTAATGGGCCAGCCCTGCCCTGGCATTAAAATGTGTATAAATTTAAAAAATTTCAATCTATTGTTTTGTATACTATTTAACAACAACAAAGTTTATGGTTATGATCCAATTTACAAATTCACAATACAGATATCAAAACACGATTGATCTATAAAACGGTTGTTAAAGAAATAGATAGCCTTTTAGTAGGGATATATGTGCCTTAAATGACATTGTGAAGAAAAATTAGATATAGACATTATAAATAAAAATGATGGCCATAAATATAAAAATAAATGTCAGGTCTTACTTTTCAAATTTTAAAGGAGATGGGAGCAGGAAATTATGAGTGTCTTTTATCAAGCTCGGAAGGGTAGGGTCAGTTAAGCGTTTGAATAACGGGCCGGGGGGAGGGAGCAACTAGTGCAAAGAATCTTAACAGGTCGGGTTTTGCAGATCTCTCTTAGTTTTAATATTTTATGACTACCAACGACTCATTTTCTCGAACGCGAGAAGGCACTTTGGTATGGCCTCAGCCTTATAAGAAATAAATGTGTTTTTTTAAAAAAATATATATTATTCGCTGGGTATAACATTATTTTATGTGGCATCTAAGTTGCACGCACTCAGGCATACAAATAGAATGGATTTGTCGATTATAGATAGTTTAAATAAAAATTTTGTAAATAAGATATAATTTTTCATATGTGATGATTTTTTTTAATTATATAATATATTATCTTTATGTGGTTGTTTAGTCAATGACATTAATAAACCTAGACTGTCATTCTTTAACAAGATTATGAGGTGTTCAAATCGGCTGGTGAGAGCCATTTTTGGTGATCCCATATAATTTTTTTAAATATAATTATTTATTTATTTTTAAAAAATTTCGTCCCAAAATGGCGTGTCACCAGCTAATTTGTATCAAATTTAAAAATAAGTGAGGTTGGGTATTTGAATTATTTCACTATCAGTTCTTTTAATCAGTGTCGCTCACTAAAAAATTTTCTAACTTGAGGGGTTTTTTTTATAAAAAAATTAGCAATAAAATGAAAGAAATTTTTAACTCCTAAAATATTTGTTTATACCTTGAACGTATTGATGGCCCCAGAGCCCACTCTGAGGCAAGTGTTCCTCGTCTCTGATAGCGTTGTTATTATCGTAAGGTCCATCCATCCCTACCGACCCTAACGATTCTTCCGCCATATTTGATTGGGGCACGATATCGTTAAAATCTTCATTTCTATACTCGTTGTTAGCCGGATCTATTATATAGTTATCATTAATATTGTTAACGTTATTGGTATCTTCGTATCCTCCATATTCGTTCGGATTTTCCAATCTTTCGTAAATATTTTGAAGAACGGCATTCGAAAAATCAGACGGTCTCAAATCAATATAACCATCGTGGGGCATCAAATGTTTATGAAAGATATCCGCATCGTTTCCTGAAGTAAGGTTAGGAATCGATGCTAGTACAAAGGCTGTTACGCATAATGTGAAGGCTCTCTTAGCGAAGTTTAGCATCTGATAAAGTTTTGCAGGTTCTATAATATTTTTGACAATATGGACGATTGGCTTTCCTATATAAAAGTAAGAGAAAAAAAAATTTAGAATCAATAATTTACAGTATTGGATCCATCTTCATTAATAATTAATTATTTAAATATTTTTTAAAAAAAATTCAAATTATCTCAACATAATCTCATCTTTATTATACTCATAAATTCTAAAATAGCTTCAACTCACCTGTATAGATTTTATAAGTATTAGAAAGATAAGATATTTATGACATTTTTTATAACTAAATGCAAAAAAATCATTTATAAAGATAATATTACTTTTTCAATTTGTAGCGAATTTTCCTACATCTTAAAAGTAGCAATCCAGAATGAATTTTTTTTTTGGTTTAAATTTATCTGTAAAAAATTTTTTATAAGCTAAATATGGCGTAAAATGTCAAATATTTAAGAAAATATAATATGGAAAGTGAAAGAAGAAAAAAATCAATAAAATATATTTTTATATATTACACACTTCCCGTATATTTTTTTTAAAAAAAATAAAGTAATGTAGAGAAAAATCGATAATTCTTTACATTTCACAAACCTACCTTTCTATTCCACTTATTTAACATTTTGTACCTTCTATCATGATTTGGGATCGGGGTAATTTGGGGGACCCATTTTTATCAAAATCATTAAATTTTTATAAATTAACGATCCTAATTATACTCAGAAATTATAAAATACTAAGGGGAAAACCCGAATTTAAATCGCTTCATTTGAGCCGATTTTTAAAAAATGGTTATCTCAATACTTTATCCCGTCGTATAATATTGCCTAAACTTCGAAATTTTGCTAATAGATGCCCAAACCTTTGTGTCATCTATGAGCAAAATCTTTAGGCGTGCGTATATAATTTTCTGGGTAAAATATTGAGTTTGCCATTTTTTAAAATCGGCTCGAATTGAGCTATTTTGCGTCACTAGGAGTAGCGAAGGATGCCGTATAAACATGAATCCCCCTTGGGAAATTTGAAAGGTTTTGTAAAATATCATATTAAGCTAATATAAATTAATACTCATACGTCACTATGACGCCCCCCCCCTACTTCCCCCCCCCCAAAAAAAAACAATATAATACGTCAGAAAAATAATTTCAAAATAAAATAAGGTTTATAAGTTTATAAATAAAAATTTTTTTTTAAATAATGAAAAAGTATTAAATAAATAAAAAAAATAAAGTGCAAAATCGAATATATCTTTTTTTTGTTTAAAACGTAAACCCAGCTAAATTATTATAGTAAGGGGCCCTAAAAAACCGCCTAATAAAATATGTGGGGAAGGGGAGGGGGGGGGGTCTACCCAAATGTCCCCTCTTTAGAAAATCCTGGCTACGGCCCATACCTTATTATAGAGACCGGGTATAAGTGGCTCATATTCGTGAGCCCAAACATTAATCAACAAAATAAGGTTAAAATTACAACTATATCTTTAACAGATTTTATTTTTAGCTAGATTCATTTATTTGTTTTGGCCAGAAACGTAAAAAAGAGTTTACTTTCCTTATTCATGTTAGAGTTAACTAAATTAAGTTCGCTACATGAAAGAGGATTTTCTTGGTAGTAAAATGCCTGATTAATTTGAACATGTGCTTTTGATGTCTAGTGAAATTTTTGCTTACTCTTCTAGCTTCAGGTATAGCTTTGGCATTTTCGGGCCCTTAACCATAAATTTAGTATAAGATATCAAATTAGAATTATTTTAAGATATATAATTTTTTCTTGTAATTAAATTTTGTCAAACAATAATAAATACCCATTTTAAGCAAAATAATTTTTTTTGTCATTAGATATTTTCAGTAACACGAATCTCTTTTTATTTGAGTATCGATAACGCAACTCCGTTACTTAGAATTTTTTCTTAAAAAAATATGGGAAAAAATATTTTATTTTAATTTTATAAATATGTTCTTAATTCGGATCAACCCGTTCATCACTTTTATATTTATTACATTTTTGATGTTGAATTTTCTACAGTCTTCTTAATAAGATTAATATCAATCATGGTATCGTCAGTCTAGAATTGGGGTGCTCCACTTGACCTTTTTAATTAGGAGTGGATTTTAATTGATTAATATCCACTAAATATATAAATAAAAACTAGATTTAAAAAATATTAATTTTTGGCCACCTTAAAGCACTGTCAATTTTGGGGCTCTTTTCGTAAATTTCGCTATATATCTGTTGTGGTGATACTATCATATTTTATAATCACCCGTTGTGCACCTTTTCTAAATTTTATGAAAAAATTTACTATAAAATATTACGGAAGAAATTATTAGTTTAAATTCATTCATTCATTACCACGCCAGAAATTGCACGAAGTGCAATTTCATCACCCACCAGGAGTTGAAGCGTGCATCATGTATTTTCACTAGTATATAGATCCCATACATGATGTCTACCCGTTTTATTATAGTGGACGGTACCACTATGTAGCCCGTTAGCAAAGTGAAGAAGGAAGAAGTACAATAATGGTGATGTATTAGTTCCGTTTCCGGCAGAATAGTGTTAAGGAAAAAATAAAAAATAATGTCATATAAAGAAAAAATGTACCTGCGTCCTTAAGTGGTATTTAGTGAGCCAACAAAAAAATAACCCTTATATCTTGTTAAGTATTGAGAGTTTATGTTAAGTTTGCATGTAGAGTCTCTTCCTTGTTTGTTGTTCGGTGTGCCAAGATATTGTATGTCCCATAGATCTTATATGTTCTGTGCCAATGGTATTTGGGTTCGTCCGATTTATTGCGTTATTATTATAGCCAGTTTATCTTCCCATTGCCTGTTAGCTAATATTTTCGTAATTGTTATCGTTATCGTCGCCGATATAAATATTCACATAATTTTTTTATTGAGTTAAATTATTATTTCTATGAATAAATTAGAATTAAATTAAAGATTGTATGTCTATATTAGTGTTGTTAAACGACTCGATTTTGGGTCGATAAAAACGGTTAACTCAACATTATAGCCAGGAAAATATTCATAAGCGTTGAAATTTCGACAATAGATGTTCAATCCTATGTGCCATCTTTGAACAAAATCTTTAGGCTTGCATAATATTTTTGTGGATGAAATATTAAGTTAGCCGTTTTTAAAAATCGGCTCAGATTGAGCCGTTATAATAACATTAGTCTATAATATACAATTTAATCTCTGTTTATTTTGCTTTTATTTAATAAATTCTCATAAATATTAATTGAAATGAAGTATTTTTAACAAAAAAATAATTCAAAATATTTATTTTACTCCACAACTTGCAATTTAATTTTATCAAATAAAATTCTCACTTTTTTTAGGCTAATCAATTGGAGATAGAATTATAAATTACCTCTCAATTTTTTTTACTCATAAAAATATTTTTACCAGTTTTATAATTTTAGAAGTGGAACTCTCCAATTCTAGAAGGACGTTATTTATTCTCTAATATTTTATTTTATTTTTTGAAGAATATTATCAATAGTTCTTCAGATGAAGATGATTTGCTTTTGACCTGTACCCATGAAGTATTTTTTCACAAATAAAGAAAATGAAGATTATTAAGTCTACACTTTGGCAGTGTAGATTGTGCCCTAATTCAAATTCAACCTTGATGTCCAGCAGCTTAAATCTAAAATAACACATTAAGTTAATCAATTCAGATTAGATTCTGATAAAGATTTAAGAAAAATTGATACTGATCTGAAATGAAGATTCTTGTAATAACCCTCTCATTCTCTGCACCAGTTAAACATGTTAGTACAGCGAAAGCTATATTGAGCTTAAGCTCTCTTGTTTATCTGATCAAAATTTTGAAAAACAATTGTTAAAAATAAATAGAAAATTATTCGGCGCAATTTTTGTCAAAATTATCATAGCTCCGAAAATAATGATCATATAAGATCTTACAAAATACCAATCGATACCTTAAACATCAACCTATAAATATATATTTTTATATTTTTTAAATATTTAATAATTTTTTTTCTAAAAAAGATTTAGTAAAAGTCATTTTTTGAACCTAGTAGCCCCTAACCCGAGGTCGGATCATCGATGGGGTTAGTCGAATCAAGTAGTTTATTAGGCTTCTTATGAGATAAAAAAAAATTTCTAGATTTTAATATATAACATGATGCTTTATTTATATAATATTCTATTTACAATTATAACAAATAAAATAACAATCTTTTTTGGCAGAGGACCCATGCGCCCAACCTTTACTTACTCTACATTGAAACCAATTATTAAAATTATGAAAATTTTTATAATCCTGTTTACATATAATACGCCCATTTTTTATTAATTTTTAAATAATGGTTTTTTTAAATTTTTTATTAATAATAAATTTACTCAAAATTTATCTAATTCTATATTTAAATATATAACATCATATGATTTTATTATCAGGCCAAAATTATAATTTAATTGCTAAAATGTTCATATCCAATAAAATGTATTAATTTGAATTATATTATATTGTCAATTAAAATAGATGTATATATAAATATTTGATTGCTAGATCTAATTCATTTCAAATAATTGATATTATTATCAGGCTAAAATTTATATTCTAACATGTTCATATCTAATAAAATGTATTAATTTGAATTTGAATTATATTATCTTGTTAATTAAAATAGATATATATATAAATATTTGTTTGATAGATAATAATTGATTTTAAATAATTGATCTTATTATCAGTCTAAAATTTATATATGCAATATATATAATATATGTGCAATATATATTATATTATTACAATTATAAATATATCAGAATATATATATGAAGATTTTAGTTTGTAAGATATTTACTTAGATCTGACATTATATTTAAAATTGAAATTTATTATGAAAATCACAATAAATTTATATAAAAATTATTATTTTATATATTACATTTATAAAATATTATATTTTAACTTGTAATAGACGGTATTTTTCTTAAAGATATCATTTTCATATAGTTTTATAGTTCTTCATTTTTTTTAGTAAAAATTTTCCTATTTTGAATTTTGCATATATATTTGGGTACCATAATAATATAATAAAAATTGATTTATTGCGCCGACTAACCACTATTTTACTAACCTCAATGGTGGTAATATTACAAATTTGATCATAACATATATTTAAGCATTATATATCAATCTGAAACTTTCTCAAATATTAAAATAGATATTTAGCTTTCATATAATGTCAATTTTATCATGTTAAACTTTTAATTTTTTAATACAACCTAATAATATTAAGTGAAAATATTGTAATTTTTACGTCAAAAACATGTCATATGATAAAAATTTAAATAGCAAAATATTATAAATTATTTTTATCCCCAAATATAGATATTATAGATTTCTATTTTAGATCAAAATTTCAACTTTTAATCGTTATTGGTTTTAAAATAAAATCCTTTGAACCGACAAGCCCCTTGCGCCGACTAGCCCTGGTCTCCCCTACTATATATTTTATTTTTATTATTTATTAGAAAATAAAATAAAATAAAATAAAATAAATAAAAAGAAAATTCATGTATAATATTTAGTATCTTTAAGTAACAAGTAACGCGTTACATTTTTGAATAGCAAGTAACGCGTTTCTTTTTTTACAAAGTAACAACAAAGCACTTTTTGTAAGGTACGGTAATGGTAACGCTTTCCTTTTTTTTAACGTAATGTATTTCTTTTTTGAAGTAACGTTTACAGCACTACTTTTAAGAGAAATCTTTTTAATTTATTTTTTTATAATTCCTTCATGGAGATTATTTCTTATCTAATTAACTAGTAGTTTGCCTAATCTCTATTAAATTGAGTATATAAAGTAAGGTTGTGCCAAATTTTCACCGATCCAATATTTATACTTATTTTTCACCCCCCCCCTTGAACCAAGTGTAATCAATATTTTTTATGCAAAAAATGGAATTATGCATTTAATTAAATTTTTTTATTTCTACAATTAAGACTATAATTTAAAATAAATATTATAATAGATAAAATATTATAATAATGTAAAATAAATATACATAACATAAAATAACAAAAAAAAAGATCGTATCTGATTAGTTTTTTACAAATACCGGTGCCGATCCGATATTTAATATCGGCACAGCCCTAATATAAAGTAATAACAATAAACGTATTTGTTGATATGAAGTTATGGCGATTTAAGTATAAAAAATTTTAATTTGGAAAGAAATCGGGATTATAATTTTTATAAATTCAATATAATATTCTCAAAATATTAGCTTTTTACATGTATTTTTTAAATAATAAGCGATAATACTCGCTGAAAAATATGATAAAATACCTCAAGGTGAATTTTTGTATATACCAGGTCGAATATAATTTTAAAAAATTCCGAGCCGGGCCTGAAATTTTTAAATCCGGGCCGGGCCGTAAAAAATTATATCCGGGCCGGGCCTTAAATTTTTAAATCTGGGCCGGGCCTAAAAAATTTAAAACCGGGCCGGGCCGTGCTACCTCTGCAGGTCTCTGATTAATATTAAACAATTAGTAGATAAAATTGAGATTTTTGTAAAAAAAAATGAGGAAATAATTAATAGGACCAACCTTCAAACTTCTATTTAATCATCCCTTTGTTTTATACTAATTAGTTTATAATAAACGCCGAATTGCCGCACCGAATTGTCGCAACGCCAAATTGTAATGGGCAGAATTTTCCGCGCCGAATTGACGTGATGTCCTTCCAAAAATGTTTTTGTTTGACAGCACCTATCCATTTTAAATAAGTTTTTTTATTAAATATAAGATGGGTTGGAAAAGTAATATAAATTAGATAAAGGGAGATGGTTATAAGTTGAAAGAGAGCCACACCCTATAGGCTCAGTAAAACAATGAAATCAATCTTTAATAATATTAATGCACTTCTTGAGATCAGTATTTTATATAATTTTGTAATATTATTGAAAAATTTCATAGATACGTTAAAAATGTTTTTTCAAGCTATTTAGAAGATAAAAATGGGATAAATAAAACTTGGTGCAACTTTAAAGTACTATTCTTGTTTTAATTTGTAAAACATAAAAAAATGTGATCCACAAAATCTAAGAGTCCAATCTTTTCCATATCAAAAATGGCGATTTTTATTCGAATACCACTTATTTAAATATACAAACCTAATAATGAAAATTAAGGAGAGATTGGCCAAAAAACGATTCATGTTAAGTTAGTTCTTCTGGGCCATATGGCCAAGATTGATGGCTTTTATACATCCGAAAAAAGAAAGGGGGGGGGGGGTTTGATTCCTGACTCAAATATTTTCCAACTATTCTGTATAATTTTTCTTTAGCGTGCTAAAATTTCAACATTTTATTGATGTTTATTTATTGTGGGTGGAATTCTTTTTTTAGGATAATAGCTGGAAAGGAAGATATTGGTAAATTCTTTGAAAAAAAAAATGAAATAAATTTATAATATAAAAAATAATATAAATTTTTTTTTATATACCTCGCAATACTTTGTTCTTATGAGTCTGAGCCACACAGCCCTGATGACGACTAAAAACCTAAAAAATAATGTTAATTTTTTTAAATTATGGAAAGAAAAAAAAATATGATTAATTGATACAATAAAATGGCTTAAGTTCAGAATTTTAAGATTTAAAACCTAAAATATATTTTTATAAAATAAAATCTAAATCGTATTGTTTGTACTTTACATAATAATTATAATTTAGTGTAAAATTCTTATTAATTCGAATTATTATTATTATTTTTATGTTAAAATTTGAATTCTTATTTTTGAGGTAGTGTTCTTAAAAGAAATAGTTAGAAATTGAAATTTATGAAAATTTTATTTTTTTTAGGAAAAAAAAAGGAAAATCATATATAAATAATAAAAATTCTATTTTATATTGAGATTAAAGGTTTAAATTTTTTGGTTTGTTTGATAATTTTTGGAAATATTTTTGAAAATTATACAATTATTTTTTAAAAATCACTATCTTATTTTTATAAAGATTTTTTATAAACCAAATTTTCTTACTTCAAGTTCTTATAATAATTATTATTAGCAAATTATTTTAAGTTAAATTATTGATTTTAAAAAAGTTTTACATTTAAAAATTATTGTAAAAATAAAAAAATTATATAAAACCCAATTTTTAAATTATTTTCGAATTTTAAAAAAAACCAAACGATTCTTAATTACAATTAAATCGGGTGATATTCGTTATAAAAAATCGTCTGCCGAAAGTCAAATTATATTTATTTTTTAAATTGGAGAAAAATCAAATCAGACGATAATAGGAATTATAAAATTATTGATACAAAATTCTCTATTTTAAAAAAAAAATTATACAAAAAGAATAATTTTTTAAGAACATATATTGGGCATTCCCTATTATTTCAAGAAGGATATGTCTTACTTATTTTCTAATTCTCAATTTCAGAAAAGTAAATTTATATTAATATATATAATGCAATAAAGAATTCATTTTCATTTAGGTGTCCATAACCAACGCGATGCTCAAGAACATATCTGGAATTCAACCAAAGATATTGTATGCAAAAATGAGAATAACAGTAATTGTGATCCATTTTCAGCAATTTTATTTAATATATATTTGTTAGGTATTAGCCAGCTTCCCAGTTACAATATTGGAAAATTATTATCAAATAATCATTTACAAAGTAATTTTAAATATATTTTTTAATCATAACAACTTCTATATTATAGATAATATAGCTAATTATTTAGCCTTATTAAACCTTCAAAACCAACTTGATCAACACAAACTTTATAACAAACTAACTTCTGCTACACCTGGTAATAACTCTATGATAGAGTGTCAATATGATCACACATTATTAAATTTTAATGGGGAAAAAAGAAGACTCGAATCAATATCTTCTGATGATTGTATGAAGAAAGATTATCACGAAGATATCACGAATCACCAAAACAATGACGAATATGAAATCAACAAGAATTTGGGAAATAAAATGTTCTGTATATTTTGCAAAAACAATGGCGAGCCTATAAGTTGGTTTTCGACGCACAAACTTAAAAATCAACAAGGTCAGATTTTGTGCCCAGTATTAAGAAAATATGTGTGTCCAGTTTGTCAAGCCAGTGGGGACAAAGCTCATACTATAACATATTGTCCCAAACGAAAGAAGGCATCTCGTCAATGGGCCATTATGAAATCTTCTAGAATTAACTAATTTTAGTAATATACAATTTTTTTAATTATATTTATTTAATTTATAACATTTTTTTTAAAGACCCAATTATTGTTTATTTATTTTTTTTAAATTGTAATATGCATTTATATTTAGAGTTAATCAAAAAACATTTTATATATAAAATTTTTACCGATTTATATATAGTATATCATATATGATCTCTGTACTATACGGTAGTGATTTTTATACACTACAATTAATTAACCAATAAAGATTTATGATGTTTAAAAAAGTCAAAAATAAGTAAGAATTTTAAACTTAAAAGTAATATATGAATTAAATCTTAACTCCCAAGGCCTTTAGATAATTTGGATATTTTTTGATTTAATTAGCAGAGCGGAGTTCTTGAGGGGCCTCCTCAAAATTATTTCTGAGCTTTCTTCACATTTTTTTATTTCGTTACTTAGTTTTTTATACTGTAAACAAATTTTTTTGTTTTTTTACATTGCAATGATCTTAAATATAATATATACATTCTAGTTGTTTTAGCTTAATAATTTCCGCATTAATGGTGAGTATATTTATATAAATGATTAAGATTTTCACTTAATTCAATTTTCTCTATTAAATCGCATTCAACTGCCATCATTAAAAAGACTAGATAATTATGACCTAAATTGGTTCGCAGCCTATTTTAATTATTTTTAGTTTACGGAAAGTTTGTTTGCCACTCACTTAGGTATTAAGAAAATATTCTTATACTATATTTAAATAGTTATATGCAGATTACATATTATATGGACATTGCATCTCAAATAAAGAGTTAGAATTTTGCAGGGATTTAACCCGTCCGCCAATTCTAAGTTGGGGATGAGTGATAAATGGGTAGCGGGTAAATTTTTGAACAAAACCTATCAGAAGGGGGGATTAAAAAAATTTAAATTTCACATTTGGCTAACGATTTTCAGTTGCAATTTACATATAACCTTGAATTTATTGATCATCACCCTCTGCTCCTGATATATCATCAATACTATTACAAATAATTAAGTCTTATGTATTTTTCAGCATTCAACCAGAAATCCTGGAAAATAAAATAAATTTTTTTTCGTAGTTTCTCAATATCTTTTTCCCAAAAAAAGTGAAAGTCTTTTCAGTTATAGTTTTGCTGTTAATTTCGACAAACCTTTTAAGATGGAAATATTAGACATAATCTTTCGGTATACCTAACTGATAATATCAAACATCCTTATAAGATTCATTTAAAAAAGATACAACTCTCTCAATCCTTAAGAGATTCTTATTTATTAATGTGTTATGTTACAGATGCATAAATTTGAATTGGTTATATTACCAAATATAAATACTATTTGGTGCCACTCGCTTAATTTAAGAATGCAGGCCGAATTTACTACATATTTTCTGCCTCTCTCAAACGATTTACTATTTTCTTTAATTTCTTTATAGAAAAATTGCTTAGCTCATTTTTCCTCGTTTATAAAATTTCGAAGCCCCATGGGACTCTTTCCCAACATGTAACTAGCCAGTCCGTTCCTGGCCTGGAATAAAAATCAATAATAAATATATATCCGCTAGAGGTCTGCTGGGCTGATTTTTAGCCCATAAGCCCGCCCACTTATTATTTTAAAAAAAATTTAACAAGAAATATAACAGACCGTCCATTAGTCAAAATTTCTTATCACTCGCCAGCCCTTATAAAAAAAATGTTAACCGAACCTGCCATTATAAAATTTAATTGTGACCATTCTTTCAATTTTTTTAAGCACCTAATAAAAAAATTATAATTCCGTTTCAGCATTACACCTCTATAAATAAGTTTTATAATTTAGGAAATTACTATATTTAGCATGAAAAAATTATTCAATTTAAATAATGGATGATTTATTTAATCAAATATAATATTTATAAAAAAAATAATAACATAGAATTGATATTATCAATTAACTATTTTAAAATATAACTATTCATGTTTTTGGGGAACTTGTAGTCCCACCTCCGTTTTTATAAAATGTTTTATTTTAATTTTATATTTGATATGTTAATTTTAATATTATAAACTATGTTAATAAAAATTTACAAATAAAAAAAAAATGTAATTATAATATCAAAAATAATGATGAATAGACATTTTCTGAACAAACACATTCTTCCTTGTTCTTAAAACCTTCCAGCAATGTTAGCAGGAATTGATAATAATTTTCTTGCTAATCTTGGTAGCTTTGGCAAATCTTTTTCATGTCATTTACACCAAAGTAGGATATCCGTTTGAAGTATATCCTCTTCCTCTCAGAGATCTAATAAAAGTAAATCTATAATAAATTTAAATTAATTGTAATAAGCAGCTTAAAATTTTCCTAAATTGTACATATCAAAACTGGTTACTTTAAGATTTAAATTTGTTATGTCATTAGGTATGGTGTTCTCCTATGAAGCAACCTCATCCTATCATCTGTTGTAGTTTAATTTTGACGCGGATACTATTTATTAAACATTGCATTTAATAAGTAGTTAAGCGAATTTTATAATTTATTAATATACCCATTAATTGGATTCTCTTTGCTTTTGGGGAAACGGGTCATATTTTCTCCACGCCGATGTTATATTCTTCTATACATATCATTCCAAAATGATTTCGATATGATTTTTTACTTCAATAATTTCTTCCGAAGATAGCATCCTCAGTTGTCGAAACTTTGGTATTAAAAATGTTGATATCTTGGATTTCAAATTTTTCAATGTAAAAGTTGGCTGGAATGCATTGCGAGATATTGTGTTCAACATATGTGCTGAACAGTTTAGTCTATTAAATCTAATATTTAAAAAAATAAACGGAAAATATAGTTCTCTAAATATGTTGTGAAATCAAATATTTTTTTTCTTCTAATTTTGTATAAAATGAATGAGATATATAATCGGTTTTAGTAAATTCCTCACACCATATATCAGTATTACATGAGCAAATGAAATTTTTTATCATTTCTCCAATTTTAGGAAATAATATTTCCTTAAGATTCTAAGTAACTTTGACTACGGGCCTGATAAATGTTATGGGGCATGGAATAATATCTTCCTTCCACATCCAATTTTCCATATGTTGGGCCTAAGTCGACAAATTTTTGTAAAAGATTTACAAATCCAGGTCCTTGAAATGGCTAAAAAAAGATTAAAGAAAAATTTAACAAAAAATCAAAATATTTAATGTAGCACAATATTCTACAAAATTGGCAATTAGGCTCGATTTTATCGTTTTGTTTAGATTGAGAAGTGTCTTGCCACTTTTGTTATTATATTTATAGATGGATTCGGAATCATTGCAGTGAATGCAATTTAGCATTTTGTCATTTTCATCGAAAATGATTTTAAATTGTTTCCACATTGAAGATTTAAGTTTATTATTATCTGAATCATTATCTTTTAACTTATACAAATTATTTTTTATTTATTTATATATATATTCTTTATTCATAATACATTTTAAAAATAAATATTATATTAAAAAATATTTTCTTGTTAAAAATTATGTTATAAAAAATAGAATTTATATATTATATAATAAAATAAAAATGAAGGGCAAGTATAAAGATAAAGATATACAATAAAATGCATAAATATTCATTATGTCTAAAAAAGGAAATTTTAATTTTCAATATCCAAAAAAAGTATTTATTTTAAGAAAAAAGTTTTATTATATCTCTAAATGGACATTCTGATTAGGCATAATATATTCTTAATTCAATTGTTATTTAGAAATGAGGATTTATTAGTGTTATCTTTTGGAAAATTAGTTTCTAAAAATATTCACAGAGATTAGTAGTAAAAAAGGGAAATTGCCCTAAAATGAAATTACTTTATCTAATATTAGCAAAAATAAAAAGAGAAAATTGTGTCTAAAAATTGAGATAACTTTATAACCGTGCTCAAGAATGCTTGAATATAAAGGAATGTAGGTTGAAACTGATGGAGTGTTTGCACATGAGGTCATCTCTATAGAGAAATTAATGATTCCAGAAATTCTGGATATATTTCTATATTATTCTAGGCACTAATATAATTTTCTTCATTGGGATTTTGTAAATTATTGGTATAGTTGTCAAACAGGGTTTGAGCAATATTGTTCTTTCAAGCATTTGGTATGTTGAATTCCAATGTGTTGGTATACCCAAAATTGAGTGAGGAAATTTTAAGGTTGGATTTTTTTCAAGAAATATTTTTTAGTGTTTATTAAATTTAGATATAGAAATTTTAAAAAATTTTCTTATTATTTTTAAGTTTTTAAGGATTCAGGCGGTCATTACAGCCAAATGTATAACATGGCAAAAACATTTGCTCACATTATTTAAGTCAAAATTGCCTTTTGATATAAAATTTTTAGAAATGCTAAATTATTATTTGCATTATCTATAATAAAAAAAAATCAATTTCATATTTTATTTTTAATACAGAATTTATTTTTTTTTCCTTTGTTGATAACTTTATTAATTTACATAAAACCTTATTAAAATATTATAATTTATAAATTTATAATTATATAATTAAAAATAAAATTCTATAATTGAGTCCCCAAAAAGGAACCATAATTGTGTCTAAAAATTTCTATTTGAATTTTTTGTCGAATAAAAAGGAATTCTCCTGGTTCATTAGTGAAAAGTCGTATTTTATTGCCAAGATTTTTTAAAAACAAAAATGTTAAAGGCGAAAAATGCCCGTTCATAGAAGTCACTACTGGAGTGAATAAAAAGTTTTTAAAATTTTTGTATTTGTTTATCTTTTTAATTTCAGCCTGTGTTATTAAATTGAAATTTATGCCTGAAGGGAATGATGAGACACACGTGTAGTCCCATATGAGTGATTTTCCGAGGGCCAAAGGTATGGTTGTCATACCATCAGGTCTTAAACCATCTACTTGAGATAAATTTGATGGTTCAAGATTGTTTGGAATGTGTGCAGCTATTAAGCTTCTATTTATTATATGGTTTACAGCTGAGTGGCGTTGATGTCGCCCTTGACTAAAAATGCAA